GGTAAGGTATAGTAAGGTATGGTATGGTAAGGTATGGTAAGGTATGGTAAGGTATGGTATGGTAAGGTATGGTAAGGTAAGACAAGGTATGGTAAGGTAAGGTATGGTATGGTATGGTAAGGTATGGTAAGGTAAGACAAGGTATGGTAAGACATGGTATGGTATGGTATGGTAAGGTAAGGTATAGTAAGGTATGGTATGGTAAGGTATGGTAAGGTATGGTAAGGTATGGTATGGTAAGGTATGGTAAGGTAAGACAAGGTATGGTAAGGTAAGGTATGGTATGGTATGGTAAGGTATGGTAAGGTAAGACAAGGTATGGTAAGACAAGGTATGGTAAGGTAAGACAAGGTATGGTAAGGTATGGCAAGGTAAGGTATAGTATGGTATGTATGGTAAGGTATGGTATGGTAAGGTATGGTATGGTAAGGTATGGTATGGTAAGGTATGGTATGGTAAGGTATTGTATGGTAAGGTATGGTATGGTAAGGTATGGTATGGTAAGGTATGGCAAGATAAGGTATGGTAATGTTTGGTATGGCAAGGTATGGTAAGATATGGTATGGTATGGTGAGGTATGGTATGGTAAGGTAAGGTATGGTAAGGTATGGTATGGTAAGGTAAGGTATGGTAAGGTATGGTATGGTAAGGTATAGTAAGGTATGGTATGGTATGGCAATGTATGGTGAGGTATGGTATGGTGAGGTATGGTATGGTAAGGTATGGTAAGGTATGGTATGGTAAGGTATGGTATGGTAAGGTATAGTAAGGTATGGTATGGTATGGCAATGTATGGTGAGGTATGGTAAGGTATGGTATGGTAAGGTATGGTATGGTAAGGTATAGTAAGGTATGGTATGGTATGGCAATGTATGGTGAGGTATGGTATGGTATGGTAAGGTATGGTATGGTAAGGTATAGTAAGGTATGGTATGGTAAGGTATGGTATGGTAAGGTATATAGTAAGGTATGGTATGGCAATGTATGGTGAGGTATGGTATGGTGAGGTAAGGTATGGTATGGTAAGGTATGGTATGGTAAGGTATAGTAAGGTATGGTATGGTAAGGTATGGTATGGTATGGTATGGTATGGTAAGGTATGGTATGGTAAGGTATGGTAAGGTAAGGTATAGTAAGGTATGGTATGGTAAGGTATGGTGCCCTCCGCCAATTAACTGTTAGCCAAGCAGATAAAAGTGAGTTGAGTTCAGATCCAGGTGATGGAGACAGGATCCCAGCATTGGAACCACACCTAGTATAGGTGGCCCCTTAAGTCCCGGGGCCCAAGGCCCCTTGTGCATATGGTTTGTCTGCCGCTGAACGGTTCATACTGTGGCCCCGTGAAAAAATTCCAAGGTGAAATTCTCAATATCAGCACCAACTATGGACCTCTTGATATGGCCCCCTCACATCCAACGTTGCCATTCACCATGCTTGGTGGCCAATGAAGGGAGAATTATGCATTGCACTGTGGGATTGGGGTCCGGGGTGGGGGGTGCCTAATTTCTGAGCTTGGGGTTCACATAATAGGGTGCAGGCAGGTATGCACAGGTAGGACTTCTGACAAGCTTGCTGTCACCCAGTTATGTCCTGTAGCATCCAATGACAGGTCCTCTTTGTGAGAACTAGGTATCCAAATGCCTCAAGGCGCAGTACTTGATGCTTTGGAAATACAAATGATCTGTAATTGTCACAATCAGCCACCAGGGGGTGACAGCGTACCAGTTGTGAACACCTTCAGAATATTTGGCATCGCTCCTTTCTCATATCCTACGGAAGCTGCCAAAAGAAATATCCTGTAGTGTGTAATAAGATGTGGACATGAGACGGAGACACGCATTGCATCCTGGGAATTGTAATGAGATAAATATAATTCCCCATACAAAAAAAACTAAGCTACAGAGCGGCTACATTGTTTCCCCAATCAGCATATTGGATACAATGTAACACACACCCGGCACAAAGCTTGTATTACCTCATCTGTATTTCCATATAAACTCCAACTCAGATATACTTATTATAGGAAGCGAAGCCCACAACAGCGGGCAATGCCCACTTAGCCCCGCCCCTTCCTTCCACAGCATCACTTCGGGTCTGCTGTAATACAATATGACTGCCCAGCTGTTGGGTCTGCCGCTGCACTTTGGAGGAGGCTGCCAAGGTGAGTAAACTTCAGAACTTTTTCTTCCTTTTAAAAGGAGAAGTATGGGGTCAGTGTTTTTCCCCATAGTTCTCCTTAGGGTAACGGGAGGACACAAACTAGCGTCCTCCCGTCACCCTAAGCTCAGTATATAGGGAGCTACAGCTCGCGGTATACTGAGACGCCGCAGCCGGAGCGGATGCCGACATGGACGTCGGGATCCGCCCAGCTGCGTGAGTGACAGCTGGCTCTGCCTATCTAGAGGCAGAGCCAGCTGTACCCGCCCCCTCCCACGTCCGTTCCGCCAGTCAGCGCTGGCGTATCAGAGCGGGGAGGGGGGAATCCAGCCCCTCCCCTGTCACGGCAGAGAGCATTGACAGGATCGAGAGGTGAGCGAACCTGGTATGTGTTCTCTCACCTCCCGATCTACTGAGCCGACCTGTGACAGTCTCATTGTCACAGGTCGGCTAGAACTATGAGGTGAGTGAAAAGCCCCCCCTCCCCCCCCTCATAGTTCTCCTTTAATGCTGGGCACACACCTTACAACCATCGCAAGACTTTTGTCTTGCGATGGTTGTAAGGTCATTTAAAAAAACGTACGAGCTGCTCATCTTGGACAGGCAGATCGTACTTGCCATGATCGCAAGCCACGCCCCCCTGACGGACGGGCTTCCGATGACCGCAATGCTGAACGGGCAGTGTGCACGTGCGCACACCGGCCCGTGCGGCTTTTATCTTGCGAACATGCCACAAACCGGCCGAAAATCGTACGATTTTCGGCTGGTTTTCGAACATGTTCCTAAGATAAAAGTCTTGCGGCCTTAAGGCCGTGACACACTGCACGAGAAGCAGCGCGGAGCGGTGGCGCGCTGCCTTTGCGAGCAGTGCGTCATGTCACTTTCTTCTCGGCACCTCAGCTTGCGAGAGCTCGCAGAGCTGAGCGTGCCGAGATGAACAATTTCAACTTCAGCCAATCGGCTCGCGCGTATAAACCGGCGCGACGGGATGCGACATCTGGCCGGTTGTTACAGACGAGCCGATTGGCTGAAGGTGCTGTCAATCATCTGACTGCACTCAGCTCACACACTGCACGTGTGTGTCACGGCCTTTACAGTAGCAGAGGTCGCACGCCTTCCACACACCTTGCGATAATCATACGATCGCGGGATTTCCCGCGATTATCGCAAGGTGTGTGGGTCACCTTAATAGAGATTAAAACATACACTAAATTGCCAAAAGTATTGCCCCTCCCCCTCCAAATCATGTGACTCAGGTGTTCCGTGACATTTCCCGGCTACTAAATATTCTGCGGTCGCCTGTTACTGGGATTATAACAAAGTGGAAGCAACTGGGAACAACAGCAACTCAGCCAGGAAGTGGTCGGCCACGTCACATGACAGAGTGAGGTCAGCGCATGTTGAAGCGCACAGTGTGCAGAAGTCGCCAACTGTCTGCAGAGCCAATAGCTACAGACCTCCAAACTCCATGCGGCCTTCAGATTGGCGCAACAACAGTGCGTAGAGAGCTTCATGGAATGGGTTT